AAATACTGTGTATTTTTAGCATTTTTGCGCCAAAATCTCTTTTCTCACTAATGAATCACAACAAAGAGAGAAAAGAAATTTGAACGCAAACTAACATTTATATCAATAATATGATTGTGTATTTGTATTTGTATTATACGTTTAATACAATAGTAGACAATAACAAATGTAAATATTGGGTTTGAGACTAAGCAAAAATAATAACTTATCGCTTAATGTTTACGTCTTTCATAAATACCTTTAAGTATAATAAGAGCTGAGAAAAAATGTATGAAAAATGTTTTCCTAAATTATCCCTTAAGATAAAAATCATTTGCCTATAGAACTAAGTTTTGAGGATATAATAAAAGTTGTATACATAATATTATAACCATTTTTATGTTCATATCATTGAAAGGAATTGTTGGCAAAACTATTGTATATCTTATAAGATGAGTAAAATAATTTTTAATAACATAAGAACTTTAAAGACTTGAATATTCTTTACATAATATTCAAACATAACTATAAAACTAGTTATTTGTATACAAAATACGGCACCATTACAGCGAATTAAATATGCAAAGGGTTTGGGGTATTGTAATAGTGTGTTGTATTTATTAGNATGCAAAGGGTTTGGGGTATTGTAATAGTGTGTTGTATTTATTAGCGCTGAGAGAGGCTATGAATTGTTAATTTGAAACATTCATATTTAATTCAAACACAAATACGTTTAGAACATAGGAATTACTATTTTGTATCTTTAAATAACACATATGGTGTATAACATACACAGTGTTCATGTTGTGTCACATGAATATTCTAACTGTAATGTAATGAACCAATTTTACAACTATTTTTATTTAATCCTTAACAAGTTAATGTTATAGTCTATACTTGTAGACATATAGCTAACATTATATAATTAATATAAATGTTGATTGTATTGATACATCCATGCAGTGGTACATCAGGCCTACAAGATTCAAGTGTACGACGAGTTCGTGATCCGCGAGAATACAGCTGTCATGAGGTGTCAGATCCCGACGTTTGTCCGCGACTACGTCCACATCATATCGTGGCTTAAAGACGATAAGGTCTTAATTACCAGCTCTGCCAACAATGGTAAGTCATATCATTGATTATACATTATTTCCTAGTTGTAATAGTGTTACCATTCTCTTATCAACCAAATTTAATTTCCACTTTTAAATAATATATTTTATGTTTATTATAATAATGATAATAAATGTTTAGATAAAATTATTTTCGTGAATGAAGGTTTTAATTTAAATATTTGAAACCTCAAACGCCAACGTAAATGCCTTTTCATTAAAAATCATAATAATCATAATCATAACAATTTATTTGGAAAAATGTTTTTATAGTGAAAAATATTTTTATTCATTTATTTAAATTATTTAACATTTATTATGTGCTAAAACCTCTCGTATGGCGTAAACTATAGGTTCAGAGAATGTCTTGAATTCATGAATAAATACTTAAGAGAAAGAGAGAAACATAAGAAAACAATTGCTTTAGTCCTCGACTGTTATACTAAGCCTTTTGATGGGAGGGCGTACTTAAGGCACGTCTACATACTATTCATATGAATTAATTATCCGATGGAAAGTCAGATCAAATCATTAGAAAAGACTTTCTCTCGTCTTCTCATTTAAATTCAAATATTAATTAAAAGCACAAAAATTACAATATTTCGCTCATTAATGCAAACAAATCATAAATATGTTCACAAAATAATTTAATTAGTATTTTATTCAATAAATACATTCAATTAGCATGAAGTTAAAGCAGTGCTAAAGTAATGTTGTGTAAGTCATAATTGAGATGTAATGGCAATGAGTGGACATGTATTGCACGCACTTATGATACTTGTCTTGATGTCAGATAAGGTCAAGAGATGCCAATTACATGTCAGCCATAGATACGATCATTGTTTTGTGTCAAACAAATCTGAAACTTTTTTTATTTGTAATTCAAAGTAACCAAAAAGTTTGTTTCATTTACTGTACAAAGTGTGCGATCAATAGTTAAATAAAAAACCGATCAAAAGAAATGATTAATTATCAATTAATTAATGAGTTGAACACTCTTTCACTTGTCAGACAATTATCTTCACTTATATGTAGCCATCACTTCATTACTTCATTTCATTGATAACTCTTTTTTATATGGATTGAGTCATACAATAAGTATTATCACACAAATTAAGTGAATCTTTTAGTGAACACAATCTCTCTCTCTCTCTCTCTCTCTCTCTCTCTCTAAAAGTCTTTATCTTAACTTTATATTGCATTCAATAAATACTTTATTTTCTATTATTACCGAAGAACTGAATTCTCGAAATAGTTTTCTATAAAACAAGAGACTTCTGAATGTTTGAAACACCAAAACGGTATCTGAAAATTGATTTTGAATTTGTTATGAGAAACACAATTGAATTTGTTGTCAAAAGCACTCCCATAATGATTATCCGATTTTATGTTATTATTAAATGATTTTTTTTTTCTGTAAGAAAATCAATTTTGTATTTATTTCCTTGGATCTTCTAGACAATAAGTCATCTTAATTTTAATTTTGAATATTTTCATCCATTTATATTATTAATATACAGTACTGTATTAAAAAGTAAGCTAAAATTATCAATCATTTTAACGATAATAATGTTTATTAAAATCTTATCTTTCTTTTTATTTTAAAAATAGATTTTAAGTAAAATATTTTAAAATAAAAATTAATACTTTTACATAAAATAAGTACAGATAAAATAATAAGATATTTCTAGAGAATATTCTGTATTCTGTATTATTTAGATATTAAAAATAATCTATTAAGCAGATTGCCATTTACTTTGACATAAGCACTTAAAAGCAAAATATTAATAACTGATTGAATGGCGATTGAAATGAGATTATATTATATATCGGATATCGATTGTTAACCAAATTATGACTAATTCTTGCATTACATCCGCTTTTCTTGTCATGTCTTTCATTTCATTATTCAATTTAAATGATTGTATCGTTGAATATAAGGGCAATGAATGGATACGACAATAAATGACTGACTGCCTAAACAATGCCTTTCCCTTACAATCATCTGAACATGAAATTATTCAAAACATCGAGTGATGGCATAAATCATATTTTTATAGCAATACTTATGTTCAGCCAAAATAACAGCACAATTCTTATCGCAATATAAAAACTACGGACACATATTGCAGTGCTTTTGAAAGGCTATGAAAAAGTCGCTTTTGATCCACATTTTATGGCATAGATTTAGGCATAATATCCGAATAAATGTATGTTTTTATCACTGAATCAAAGGTCGTCAGGAAATCTTCTCTCTCCCACTCTTTCCTACAGTTTTTGTGACCAAAAAACTACTCAAACTATTAGTGCTTTTATGTTTAACATTACTCTAACTTTTGTCTGACACGCGATTAAACGCTATTAAATAAATGGAAACGTAAAATATATTTTGCAAATTATTTATTGAAAGGCATTTTCCATTCAAGAAATTGTCTTTCAAATAGGGGACCAAATTTTTAATTAAAACCTTGTATATAAGTGATCTATCAAATGCTTAATTAGTTTTCTGAAAACTCATTTAATAAAAAATGTAATCAGTGTTTAAAACTTCAATTATATTTTTGATTGTAGATCCGAGATATTGTCATATTTTAGTCATATTATTTGATTTATTTGTATTTCAACTCATACTACAGCATAAGTCCGTAAATGTGTCTATTTTTTGATAAATAAATAGTGATATAAAACATCTCTAATAAAGTCATTCATTGGAAAATTCAGCGCAGGTTTTGATTTGAAGGCATTTTTTGCAGTTTATATACTCAATGACTACTACAGTGAGAGGTATTGAAGCAAATGATTTAGTTTTACTCAAAATTTCCAATTCGTTTAGAATTCATATGAAATATAGCTCTCCTATTGTGAGCTAACTATATGTGAGATATTTCTATTGTATTGAAAATTTAATCACAATTACTATAATAAGAGACTAACGAAACATATTAGCTTTTTATGTATTACAAACCTAATTATAGATACTGTATAAGAGTTTGGTTTTCTAGACACATATCTTAATGAAATATATTGAAATCAAAGTGATTAATAAAATATATGATCAATATATGAAATATATATGTGAATAAAATATATGAAATAGTTCTCATATTTTATGATTTAGTGATTCATTTGTGACAATTGGGTCGCAGACTATGGGAATTGATTTATGAAAACAAAGATTTCAATGAATTTGCAAATTATAAGTCAAATTGATTGATCAGATCTATGTTTTCGCATATCTTTGTTGCAATAAAATCTAGATTTTGATCTAAAATTCAAATTAAATTAATTATTATTTTCAGTCTTATATACGAATTGAGTGAAATATAAAACAATAAATTATTGAAATGTTTTATTCATAATCTCTACGAATATAATTTGATTAACACAGAACCTTATTATTATTTTAATCAATTATTGCACCAAATTATTATTGTTTTAACAATGTTGCCGTATACATTTGTTATCAAATTAAATAATCGATCAAAAGGTGGTATTTTGGGGCAAAATATTATCAATTTTTCTCTTTTGTCAGATCACTATAAAGACAGATAAGAAGTGAAATAGTTTTGTGCGAAAAATATGAGCAAATTTTGGTGTTATTTATTGAAAGATTACGTGCAAACAATTCATAAGTTTCAGGGCTCAAGACCTGACTTTTTAACCCCAAAAATAGGCAAAAAGAGGAGAGAAATATCATTAAAATGTAATTCCTCTGAGCAGTGAAACTAAGTATAAAAGGCGTTCAGAATAATTACTGTTCGCACCATTACTACAGTACTACTACTGCCGGTGCCATACGAGTCGTTATTGTAGTTCTCGGTCTCCAACAACACATATATTCACAAAACAATTGCATTGATTTACAACCAGTTTTTGAATTATAATGTAAATCATCTTAACTATTGTGGAGGTCTTAAGTGAAATCCAAGACATTTTCGTCTATTCTCTCTTCACTCACGAATTTTTTGCACAGAATTTACTTTTAGTCCGACTTTTATACAAATATAAATGAGTTTTGAAAATCCTTTTCATTAATCACCATTTTTTCAGACAATATCTAAAGAGATATAAAAATAAATGTTTGACTACTTTATGTTTAGATGTTTGGCTCAAACCCCGAATCAAATATCTAACCATTGTATTTATACACAATATATTATATATTTCTATGATATATTCATATCTGAATAACAATTTTATAGAATAGATACCGAACTAAGACTTTCATCGGATATAAAGAAAAATAAAACATTAATATCTAGAGTAAAAAAATTGTCTTTCGTTTTCATATATATTTTGCATACGTTTTGAAAGGAGAAGTGAAGGGAAAGAGAGAGAGAGAGAGAGAGAGAGAGAGAGAGAGAGAGAGTCTCCATTTATCTCACTTTGAAATGTCAAAATATGATAAATTTTATGATATTTGTGTGCCGTTTGGGGAGTGGTTTTGAGTGAGAGATAGAAACAACTCCTAAAGAAGTGAACTGTGAACAAATATAGTGTAAAATATAATAAGTTTTTTACTCCAAACGAATAAAAATATAATATTATATTCTGTGAACATATTCTGTGTGCAAAACTAGTAGGACTTCTGTGCACAAAAAGACAATAATACATTGAAAATGAATGAATGGCTCAACACATGAGATGATAATAAGAGAGAGGAATAAAAGTGTGGATCAATTCATAAGGAAAGCGAATGGACTGTAATTCACACATATTTCACAGTTATTTCACTATTTTCTATGCAATTGTGAGCGGATGTACCGGTGCCCTACCATCACATCTAACTGATCCCTAAGTTTTATCGTTTTCGTGACTTATAAACACAATGAATACATTTGAGCACTAGTAGTGTATTCGTGATACAGTGAGCACAAGTAGGTTTGGGGATGATACTCGTACACAGAATACAGAATATTCGCTTACATTTAGTGTAATCTAGTTTCTGCTTCGGGAGAAAAATGTAATAATAATAATAATATGGTATCATATAATATAATATCGATTCAATTTTGTTTAACTTTTATTTTTTCCATTGCTTATAAAAATGTTTTATAAAAAACGAGTTTTGGTTTTTCATGAGATTTCTCTCCGCGACAGATATGAGATGAAAACTATTAGATTTAGTGATAGATTTAGTCAATGAATGAAAAGAGCATTTATGATAAGATATTATGAGTATTGTATCGGAAAATCGAAACTCTATTTGTGTGAACACAACAAGGATTGTGTGAATAAGTGAAGAAACAAGAGTTCACTACAAGAATTGATAGCAAATTATTGGGAATTAAAGCCTAAACTATAAGATAGAGTGAAATCAGTCGAATCGGACAACAAATGAGAGTTTCATAAAAATCTGGGACTCAATGAAATGGTTACGAAGAATGCCATCATTTGGTTTGTGGAGTTGGATATTGGATGGCCATCCCTGTGCTGCCTTACCATCACTAAAGCACTGGTATCCATAAGTATAAGCATCTCATGGGAAACATTAGAAAAATAGCGAACATATAGTGTCTCGCATACTGTTAGACACCGAATGTTTGGTAGGTTTTGTAGGGCTGTTAGTGTAGCACACAATTCATGACAATGACATAACTGGTGCTCATAGTGTCGGTGCACTCATACATACTTACAGACACTGGTAGTGTAGGAGCTGCTTTGTAATGCTAATTCACATGTCGTACTCATTGAGAATACAAGCCCTGGTGTCGGATCGAGAGGCAGATACGGCGCGTATTGAATAATAAAACTTATGTAATCAATCATTACAGCCAACGGTGCCTAAGGGTTGCCGACATGAGACGAGTCGATGATTAATCACTAATACTATTCCCAACAAATAGGTTTTGCATCGGATTAATGCTATTCACAATTGAGACGTGTTTTATAAGATGTGTGTAACAAGTAATTTGAAATATTCATCAGCCCTTCCCATACAGTGTATATACAGTACATAGTGTGCACTACATACACATACATTCACATCCATGAGCTGTGTATCGTTATCTGCCAAACAGTTCCCAATTTTTTGCACTCTTGTACTGATAGTGGAGATGAATATTCTGTTCGGAATATTCTCTTGAGTGAGATTTTTTGTGTGTAAAAATTTTATGCTTTAATTAAAGTTGTTTTTTGTTTCATATCGTTATCTTTGAGTCTTATAGTGAATAATATTATTATAGTTATTCTATTAGGCATTAAACTAGAAATAAATTACTTTGAATACACTCTACAAACTATAATGCCGTTCAATCTTATGGTCTTTATAGTGAAGTAACGCTTCGCTCACATCATTCATATGATAAGGTTATAAGCGATAGGGTTTTGAAAAATAAAACCATTTTAAGGGCAGATATTGTTTGAGATTCCATTAAAAGAGTTTTTAAATGTAAACAAAACATATTTAATGTCTAAATATAAAAATCAAACTATAGATATTTGGTTGATATTTCTGATAATTTTATAAAATATACTAAACAGACGTTTGAATAAAATATAATTTGTATAATTACACAAACATTCTATACAATATTCGTTATGCATTTTTTCGCAACCATTTATATCTCAAAGACTCGATTTGTATTCCGAGGGATTGAAAAGAAAGAAAAATAGTTGTACTTAAAAAATATGTGTATCTTTAGTGCACTGGAATCCTTAGCAAAACTGTATAACTGTTTCATACTCTGAGAATATTCTGCATATAATCGCTGAGAATATTTCGATTTTGAACAGTAAGTAGAAAAAAGTGCTGCCCTTTAATATCAAATGTGAGGGCACGAGAGAGAGAGAGAGAGAGAGAGAGAGAGAGAGAGAGAGAGTTAAAATGAAAATATGGCTCTCATGAGTGTTGTGTTGAGAAAGAGAGAGCTCTAAACATATAGAAAAAGGCAGAAAAAATATATTATAAAATAAAATTCAATACAGAAAATACACTATTTTCTAGTGGTATAAGAAAAAAGTGTTTTGCGCTGAAAAATCTCATTATTAGTATTCTTGTATTTATGTGTTTATTTGAATACTAGAAATATATGACAGAATTTAGTTTTTTTTTGTAGTACTTTATAAGGACTTTTTTCTGAGCTTACATTGAAAGCATCGGATTTGTTTATCGGAATAAATAATTTTTCTTATATTTGAACAATAAATACAATAAATACAATATTGGACTACAAAATAGCCACTCATTTGTTTTCATATGATTTATTCTAACTGTGATTTCATTGAGGGGTAAATAAAAGTAAACTATTTTAATAGTATTTCATTGGACAGACAGACAGACAAGTGCTGATTCTGGACAAGAATATACTCTAATTCCATGTCAAGTGTGATATAGTGTACGAATATATGTCGGATATTGTGAACAATAAAGTTTGATATAAAAGCTTATATTTGTTTAACTTTTTTGGTATTCATTAGTTTTGTTGCATTAACTTTGAGATCTATTTTTATTTGTTTTTTACTTTCGCGATGTTGTTGTGAAACAAAATGATTGTAAAATATATTTCAACTTTTTCCAATACGACTCACATATCGTGTGTGTGTCTGTGAGTGCAGCTTATGGTGCAATAAGACATTTTACTACCATTCCTCCCATTCCTGCCATTCCATGCGTTTCTATCAGAGCCAACACATATCCCGCGGGAAATGACTCCAAAGATGAATAGAAATTTCTGTTTTCTGACTTTTTTGCCTCAAATCTATAACTTTTTTCATCTGCTATTGGAAAGAGAGAAAGAGAGAGAGAGAGAGAGAGAGAGAGAGTGAAAAAATAATTGTGAGACACAACCAGTTGTTGGAGGGTTTGGCTCAGACTTCACTCTCTGGCGCACAGTCTCTGCCATAAATCGAGTTAAACATTGAGACGATTTCCCACTCAGTCTCGCAATTATTAATACTATTTGTGAGAAACAGACAGACAGTGCGAGAGAGAGAGAGAGAGAGAGAGAGATAGAGATCCATAGACTCTCTGAATTGAATGTTTAATGTTTAGCCTTTCATTTGATGATTCTCTCGGTGTTGTAATTGCTTTCCTGATCACTCACTCACTTTCACTCCACAGTTATATATAATCTGTTATTAGAGCTCCGGGCGACACGACTTGCACTCATTTCCTAGTTTTTTGTGTTAAACAAAATCATGTCTTCCATTCGTTTTCATTCCGTTAATAGTTTTCGAGTTCTTATGTTTTTATTTTTATCTAAAAGTATAGATAAATATAAAATCTCGTAATTCTCTACATAAGAATATGGGAATCCATGCGAAAACACATTTTTATTAAATTATCACTTCGTATAATTTGATTAAAGATAAAATTTATTCTCTCTCTCTCTCTCTCACTCTCTCTCTCTCTCTCTCTCTCTCTCTCTCTCTCTCACTAACACTTACAATATTTATGAAAAGGCATAACTCATACAAACAGTAAAATTAATTTTATTCATTTTTCTGTGCACAGAATATGTAAGGGTTTTATAGCAAAGAAAAAATGTATTTTTAGATCGAGTTTTCAATTTCAACTCTTTTTGCATTCGTTGGCATTGGATATAAGGAGAGATATTGCATGACTTAACATCATATTTCCATATATTTTTTGCTATACTCTGTACTAGATTTTCTGTGTCGCTATACTGTACTAAACATCGCTCACTGTTTTGCTTCACGTTTTAGGGTTCGGTCGATATATAATCCTCGGGAGCGGAGAATTGCAAATAAGAAATGCATCCAAAGCTGATATGGGATCGTATCGGTGTCAGACCAGACATCAACTCACTAACGAAGTGCTCACCTCCTCTATAGCCGGCCGTCTTATAGTGACAGGTAGTGTATAATACTATACAGAATTTCATACAACAAACAAATTCCCGTTCAGTTTAATCAATATTCCTATCTATATATACTGTATATATCTATATCACATTCAAATCTAATGTATTTCCGAATTAAATGTTAGCCTTTTATTTGATTTATAGAATTCACTTAATTTTTATTAGTATTTATTGCCAGAGTTTGTTTTGATTGTAAACATAAGGCTTTATTAAAAGAGGTCTGGGATTTGATTGTGTTTTTAGACAAATTGATTTCATTTTGCGTTCAATTTCTCGTTTAATGCAATCGAAAGGAAAGTTTATTCAAATGAAAAAGTAGTGAACTTTTGAAATGTCAGAATATTCTGCGAATTACTTCTTATTATTTATTAATAATGATTGACATGAGAGACAGTAATTTAAATGTCATTTCTTTTTTGTGTTAAAAATACCATAATATTAGTTAAGGGGTGAAAAGTGTAATGAAAAGTTTGTGATTAGGTGTCAACATTCAGACGGTTTATTGCAAATACATATAACATATTCGCTAATAAATCGTTAGCTTTTTATTCACTCGTTAACTCTCACTCTCTAATCGATACTATCGTGAGTTTTGTAAGCGGTTTGAGACATAAGAGAGAAAAGAAAAATAGGAACTAATTTTCACAGACGCCTCAGATTACCCAACTCTTGGCTTTCGTTTTCATTTAATTGTAGTCTCTGTCAGTCATTCATCAAAATTAGTAACAATTATCTATTGTATTGCAGAACCGCACGGGACTATTGCGCCCAGAATTTGGAGCCACACTCAAGTCAAGTGCTTTGAGAGCGATCTCTGCGAACTGCCCTGTGTTGCACAGTCCTGGCCACCACCTAAATACAGGTATATTACATCATTACAATCATCCAGTACATGCCACACACTTATTAGACTGTTACCGACTTCATGCTTGACTTTAAATGTGCAAAAATGCACATATATTTTGATTTTATTTTTGGGTTCAACTGTCATTTGAGATTTATGTCGAATTCGCTATAAATATACTTTTCTAAAGGTCTAATAATAAACTGTTTAATGTTTATTAAATTATTTGCTTGGCTTTTGATTTTCATGAAAATAGATTTTATTGATTTTCGTAGAAAAATGATTGATTTGTTTCAATAATCACTTTATGTTGTGCTTATAGTTTGCAAAATAATATTCAATATAACAGCCATTTATTCTGTAGTAGAAGTGAATGAAACATTTGGCTGTATTCTTGTGATACTCGTTTGGTTTTAGCAAAATATGAATCCTAATACCAATTATCTCTCGCATACAATATAAATGTCATATAATATGACAATTGTGTCCAAACAGATGGTATAAAGAAGAGGAGTCGGCCTTATCTGCAGTAGTGATGGGCACTCATGTGCACCAATTTGACGGAACACTTCTCATATCAGAGGTCTGGCCGTCAGACTCAGGCAAATGGGTTTGTGTGGCGAACAACACGTTGGGTGAGGAGAAAGTGGTCATCAAATTGGTGGTCATCTCGACCATTGGCGTACATATCGAACCGCAGCGATTGGTGGTTGACGTGGGAAAGTCGGCCACATTTAACTGCTCCGTAAGGGGCGGACCTATTAATCTACCCGTGATTTGGCTCAAGGATGGCCTGCCTTTAATCAGAGATCCATTTAGTGGTGGCGTTGGACTCAATTTGGACGATAGGATCCGATTGATTGACTCAAACGTCTTATATATACGTTCTGTTATTAGAGAAGACTCCGGTATGTTATGTCTGTCCTCATTATATTGGCTATCATTTTCTTGCCTCTCTGTGGAACTCCTATTCATTAATCAATTGTTTTCTCATTTATAACTAATAATAAATATAATTAACTCTTATATAAATAGATAAGAAGTTTTTCTTTGCCTTTCATATGACATACAAAAACGATACACAAAAAAGTCAAATATATTTCTAATTAATTGTTTATTTCGAGAATCAATAAAACGTTTAATTTCTATAGAAAAGCCATAAATCGTCAAAATTTTTTTATAAGTGTTTTGCACTTTTCGTTCAGTTTATTCCTCAAGTTTTCTCAAATATGAGATGACATTCAAGTCTTTTACTCGTATTGACAGACATTCATATATTCATAGATTTAATATAACGACATCTCTTCGGTTCAAAAATGACAAAATAAATTGAATCAAGAAATTGAATATTTTATGCCTTAAATACATATCACACTAAACACGAGAGACAAACCTATAGGCAGTTGTAGTTCATATGCGAATATAAATTGAATTAATTGAACACTTTTTGCAAGAATTTGATAAAATTGAAAACTGAATGCAAATAATAATCTGAATAACGCGTGATGTATTGATGTATTGCCCTCAAGGCTCGTATCAATGTCTGGCTGAGTCGGAGTACGACTCGTGCCAGTCGTCGGCCGAACTCAAGTTGGGAGACATCGCACCCGTCATACTCGAGACGTTCAAAGATGCCATCATTGAGTCGAGCACTTCGTTGTCGCTCCGGTGCACAGCCTCTGCCACACCGTTGCCGCAGATTAAGTGGTTTTTGGACGACTGGCCGGTGCCTAACTTCGCCCGATTCCGGGCCGGCGATTACGTGACGCCAGACGCCAAAGTCGTCAGTTATGTTAATATCACATCCACTCGAGTGGTCGACGGCGGGGAAGTGAGTATCGCCTTCACAGCCAACACTTCATATATCCATTGCCTTCCCATTGCCTTTCACTCATATGTTTGCACATTATTTCCATTCAATGAGTTTCATATCAAATACATTGAGAGCGAGAGTGAAGTGAAACATATATTTTTCTTTCTCTCTATATTCCTGTTTAACACAAATTCTTCACGACTCCACTCAAGACAACATTTTTACAGAAAAAAATGTTTTATAAAAAAGTCGACAAAAACTCTTTCCCCTTATATATAGTATATACAGAATTTAAATGAATAAATATTTAAAATTTTTTCCGCTTTTAATATATATTTTGTTAAGTATTTTAATGACATTTTATATATTTTTTCTTGGGCACCGAGTTTAGCAAATTATTTATGTGTCAAATAAATAGTTTTTCAATTTTTTAGAGCAAAATATATTCCGTATCTGAACGGTGTGTAAAAAAGTCGTTAATTTTTCTTTCATTCAATGATTTATTATTCAAAATATTCCTTATATTTTCATTTCTCGTCTCTCATCCAAAAAACAACACAAGAATTTCATACAATTTTCCCAATTTTTAAGTCAAAAAATAAATAAATCTCAATAAATGCTATACTTTTTGCTAAGAAAACATTAATAGAGTGCAGAGAAAGAGAGAAATACAGTGAGCCGTAGAAACACTGCGAAATGATTTATCAAAACGCCATATACTGTGCCACTATTAGGGAGCAAACATCCAGAGTATAATAGCATTAGAGATATTGTATGGCATTAAAGTTTATATGCCATCAAAATTATTTGTATCACTGATTCATAAAATAGTTTCTTATTTTTTATATGACTTTCTCTGGCTTTTTGCAGTACAAATGTGTGGCGAGTAATGATGTGGGACAGGCCAGTCACACGGGTCGCGTCAGCGTAATTGGCAGTCCGGCACTGCGATCGATGTGGACCTCGAATAACATAACTGTGGTGTCCGGCCATTCCATAGCACTGGGCTGTCCTGTAATTGCATATCCAATTGAATCCATTTCGTGGGAACATAAGGCCAATACGTTGCCAGTGAATCACAGACACAAAATTGAGCCATTAATGAACGGAGTCGGAGGCAAATTGCATATCAGTGTCGTCCATAAGGCACTGGATGCTGGCGAGTACATCTGCAC